GGGGTGGTCGAAGTAGATTTCCCAGCGAGACATCTGCTGGGAAGAGTTCATCATCATACTGTGAGCTTTTAGCAAACCAGTAACTTAAGATTCAATAATTGAAGACCTACCCATCGTAACCAGTGGTAGCAGACGCAACGCAAAGAACGGAAGCGTGCCAGAACAGCTTGCGCATGTTAGGGAGCTTCTTCCAGTCGACCTTCTCGAAGTCGGGCGTGTCCGCCGCAGCGGCGGCACCAGCAGATGCGAGGGCAGGCATCTTGAGAGAACGTAACGATGTTCCAACGGAAGACTGAAGTTAGAATATAAGTGAGGGCTGCACCACAAGGGCTGATCGACTTGCAGTGGATTGCAGAAGTCGGCCATGGCTACATACTTATAATTGACAAGGAAATGCTACGGGCTACTAGCTTGCCTTCCAGACTAATTGGCATGGAGGCCCTGTCCCTGACGGCTCAGCGGACGTGGGTTGCCGGGGTGCGAGGTATTGCAGTCATTGACAACAGCCCCACCAATGGGCGGGAACGATCATACTGCTTTCAGCCACCCCGCTGGCACGAGGGCCGACGACGCCGGGGCGAGACCAGTCAGGGTCGTCGGCTATAATTCTCGAGGACCCACTATTGGATGCTGATGCTTACAGTTTTGATGGTCCGACGTTGGATGTAGATTGTGGTGCCCCGTGGGGAGGGTGGGCGTTTTCCAGAACGCTAAGAGATCGCGGCGCTGTTGTTATGCGAGGCCACGAGACATCTCAACCATATGCAGTTGTTGCGCACTGATGGTATTGCGAATATTGATCTTCATGTTGGGATTATACGGACACCGCGCAGAGATTCTCACCCGCTTCATGAGATTGCCCTAAGCACTTGATGATTGGCACAGCCAAGTACCGCGTGCAAGGTAGTTGCAGAATGCAGATTCATCTGGGTATAGTGCTTTGCGATGGCGGGCTCTTGCAAGACTATTTTCCTAGCAACGCGAAATGTTTCAATCGTGCGCCTCAAGTTCGTCGCAGCTGATCACAAAGTCTGTGGAATTTTCGATCTTGCGGCAAGCCTCACGACTCGTGCCGCGGATGAATGTCGATTGCTTCCGTGAGAGATTCTTCCATTAACCTTCTTCAGGCAGCCTCAGGTGGAAGCAGCCAACGTGATTGGTTTGACTTGAGACGAGAACGGGGGGGCCAACTGCCAAGATGGATAAATGGGCCTGCTTGCCGGGATGTGGCACTCTGAAGCCACGGTCAGCCAGAACGGTAGCGCATAATGGTTCCAACCGATCTCTAGGTCCTGGGACATCGTGTATGTTCCTTCAGCGGCTCCACGAGCGCGACTCCGACCGGCCTGGTGGGTATCGTTTCCAACAATTGGTCTGGGTTTAATCACACCGCGGCTAGCAATGTGTCGTTCTCCTTCTTTGGAGAGTTGCAAAAGAGACCCGAGTGACCACTTTGGTTAATGTGCTTCCGTGTGCCTGGTCCTCCAGCAGCTTATGTCTGCGCGGCATGCACTTCGGAAGATCGTTCTTTCTAGAACGACAGGGGTACAATCGACTGTCTGTGATTTGTGAGGGTTCAGATGGATGTCGAGATATGCTCCCTGACAGCAAACATGGCAGCAAAGCTTGTGTAACGCCTCCAACTGTGCGCTAGTTCACATGCAATGATCGATTGCTGTCAGTGGGATGCCCTACCGCTCACCGCCGACCTCGGTCTCACGAGTTTCGAGACGCCCTCGCCGCAATCTCAATCAGTTAGGATCGATTTTCCATGAAGCTAGACGCTGGACCGCAGGCCGCAGTGCTGGGAGTGTATTGATTGTTGCTGCAGGCCAAAGCGAGCCGCAAACGGTGGCCGCGGGGGCTCCACCAGATCAGGCTTCACGCATGCTTTTGCCGTAGCGCCCGAGCACGCTTTTACCGTAGCCCGCCACGTGCTTGCATAACTCCGCGAATTGCATTGGGACAGCTGAAAGTGCCCGCAATATAGGCCCATGTTACCGAAAGGCCAACCACGGGATCTTGTGGAGGAACAGTAGCGCCAGGCAAAATTATCTGGAGACCTGGAGGCTGAAGACCTGGAGAAATGGAGACGGCTAGAGTCATGCGCAGATGGGGTCAGTGGCTGTCTTTGTCGAAGAGCCAGCCTCAGTGGCACCACCTATCAAATGCCAAGGCGTCGGAGGTACATTAGCCGGTGAAGCTTTCTGGTTAAAGCCTGCAATCTCGTGACTTGGAATCCCATCACGCCAAAAGTGGCTCGACTGGGAAAAAAATAGATCACAACAACCATTCCTGCCGTGCCCTCGCATTCTCCGATCCGTTGTAGGAGCTGGAGCCAGCCTCGTAGACGATGTTGCAGGGGACTGATCTTCAACAGAATCCGTCTGGTTGCACAGTTCGTGGGGTGTCTCTTCAAATCATTATTGACTTCGTTGCGATAGAGCCCATCGACTTCTAGCCTCATGTCAATTCCAATGCAAGGTGGAGTGATATTGAAAAGGCCCGGTATCAAGCTTTGATGGTCGAAGTGATCACTGCATAAGTCGATCCCTCCCGCCAAGATCTACGAGCGTGTTCTTCGAATCTTCCATAGACAACGTGCATATGCTGGGCAACCTCAGATCTGGGACCGCTACAAGCATACCATGTCTTGAACTCTGCTCAGACCAATTCTCTCGACCGATGTGATTCTAGAGAGAGCATGTAACAGGCTGCCGTCTTGCCGAAGCGCATGCTCTCTGTGCCAATGCCTGGACTCCTGCAGAAAGGCTGATCCAGACAGACGGTCTGACTGCGCTTTCGCTTGCCACATCAAGATTTGCCTCTCACCTTGCTCGAAGTGGTTGCAACCCCGCAGTTGCGTCTGTTATCAGTCACTGACCTGGACCCGAGCTGACAACATGTTCATTGCTAGTGTATCGAGTGTGTTGGTCAATCAGAGAGCCCAGCGGATCTCGCTCCTCTGGCGTCCAGGAGTAGCCCATCTGCAGCTCTCGGCGAGATTACCCACACCAAATTCGCGCTCACCATTTACCCGGGATAGCTTCAATCTATGTTGATGCAGAGGTAGTGGATTCTAAATCTCACAGAGTGTTCACAGGCCTCCCTTTGTATCACAATCATTGAGATCAACCAAGTAGAGATATGAAGTGTAGTGTCGACGCCCCTTTTGCTTTTGGGTCGTTCTGCTAGCATAGCGGCCCCAGACGTTCGCAAGCTATCTCTGCTACACGGCTCGACCTCGTCTGTGTCCAAAGTTTCTGCTTACGATAAATGCGGGAAGATTCTACACAGTGTTTCACTGCCGCATTGGACGAACGACGTCAACAAGTCTTTTGCCTCTGTAAAGTGTTGCGAAAGAAATTCCCTGCCATCTAACTCTCCAAAGTACAGGACTGTCAGTCCTTTTAATACATAGGTCCCTTTGTTTCCCCGATTCCTACGCATGTCGAACATGTACGTCGCCTGATATATACGTCTACTGCTGCCCTTCGAACCAATCGATCGTTGACAGTTCCTACGTTGTAGGCTCATTCACCACCTGCCTCCAAAACATTTTGCTCGACCATACGCATTGAAACGGCGATAAGTCTTACACTATACATACAGAATGACTGATGCCAAACGTGGCTTTGTTACACCAAATCCAGGTGAATTGCGCATGTGGTATCTTTCACATCTTTCTCCTGGCATCGAAAAGCGTTTTCTGAGCGCAACGTCAGATCGTTAAGCCCATGTTCCCTCGGTTTTGTCGATGAGACGTCTATTCACAGCAGAATATCATAGTGTCTTACAGTAATGCTCCAGACGAGAACTAGAACTTGTTGCACCCATCGCTCAGTGTACCGCACAAAGCAAGGGAGAGCAGGATCCTCGACCCTTTGATGATATAACGTACTAAAGAACCGTTACTAGTTCACTGATAAGAATTTTATCCAGCCTCCTATGCATAGGTACCCCACCAGAACGAACTACCCCCTCCGGATGCTACGAGGCCGCACAAAAGCGTGTGTTGCAGTCGTCCGTGTCTCATCAAAACATCGAGATCAAGTCACAGATGGAGGCTTGCCGGCGATCATGACCCTTCTACAAGACTGATGTGCACGAGAAGCACATCAATCAAGCTTAGTTCACACCGGGTGTGCGAGCTCAACTGGGAACTTATCATCGCCATCATCCGCCCCGAGCTTCCTGCTCAACGGCAGCTTAAAGAACGGAAACGATCTCTTCCATATCTCAAGCCAGGGCAAAGTTATACCCAACGCGCGAAGAAGGAAGCAAGAAACCATCAATATCACCTATAAAAGGCGCGCATCGCATCGAGACCGACTCTACCGAACGATGACACACCGATGAACATATCGCAACGGTGCATTGTGCATCAACCTTGCACAGCGAACACTCTAGGCCGGAAATCTCCACAATGATCTCACGAACGCTATGTGGCCACGTCCCTCGAAGCGATTCACTTGACAAATTTTGCCCTCAGAGATGTGATCATCTCCAATACGCCACAATGGAAATCCGCGTGCGCTGCGGGGAGCATGCTTCAACACTCTGAACTAGTCGCCGTTCTTTTGAAAATATCTTGCGAAGATGTTTCAAACACACCATATACATGGAACTGGTAAGGAATGGGAGGGCAGAAATCCTCGATATGGGCCGAGGCCTCAATGCACGCGACAATTTGATATACCATTGAAAGTACCCATAATCTACAATGGCACATTACTATTTCCGCCATCCATCACTCATTTGATTTTCATGTGCTCATCGCGTAAACAGCAGAATCTTCAAGAACGCTGAAAACCGGCCGCCCCACCCAAGCGCATGAATCGCAACCACAACTAAAAAATCTTCATCGACCACCACATCACAGCGCAACACATCAGTACGCGAATACTTTACAGATATTTGTTATTCAATTTTGAGCTTACTCATCAAAATCCGATATGGTCTAGGTCAGTTTCACCACCACTCCAACTCCAATTCATCATTCTAACATTCAACAGTGGCTAGGATTTGCCGCTCTCAATGAGTAAGCTCGCTTTCAAGCGCCGGCAAGGCCCGGGTTCGATTCCCGGTGTCGGAAACATTCTTTTTGCGCTTTAGATGTTCATTTTTGACCATGGGGTAGTGCGGTGGTGAAGCAAATGGGTGTGCATGCTGTGGTGCACTCTTTTTGCGCTAAGCGAGACGAACACAGATTGTAAGAACGTGAGAATAGTCAGTGCAGGAGACGTTATTTTTGACATGGAGATGTTGGTTTCCAGCTTTAGGGTGGTGTTGAGGTGAGGGGATCGGTCATGGAACACTTTGCGACGGGCAGGGAGAATTGCGGCCTGCGTAACGTGTGATGCGTTCCGTGCGACTCTGGACCTGAATGTTGAAGAGCTTTGAGTGATTTGTTGGCCTTAGCTATTGCTCAATGGGTACGAGAGTATGCGTTGTCGCTGATTTGCCAGAGCAGAGGATTGAGTAGGGGACGAAGAATTAAACAATGTAAGATCCCAGATGTGGTTTTTTCGGTCCTTCGGGATAGAAATCCTCTAGTACTCATGATAGACTCCCATATTCCTCTCGTGTTTTCTTTTTCAGAATTCGTTCTCGTCTTCAGCACCAATTTGAAATTGTATAGTTCGTAGCAATGCTCGTTCGAACAGCAACACTAGACACGTGCAGATTCCCAATCGCATTTATGCATTCCAATGCGAATGTGTCTCCTTCGATGGAGAAAAGCATGAAGTCGAAGCTATCGCTTCTTCCAGATATCCGACTTCACCCCACCGACCTGCAAAAGAGTCTTCTCCGGGGGCTTAGCCTCAAGCAACAATCGCATCTCTGGATCTCCCTTCTCCATTGCCCTCTGATACGCAGGCCGACCTCCAATATCCCTCAAATATCTCAGAATATTCGGGTACTTTGCGTAGCTCATAAGCGGGCCAAAATATCTTTTCGACGTCAAGCAGTATACCGTCATGATATCCGCAGCCGTAAAGTCACTGCCAGCAAGCCACTTGCTGTTACCGAGATGTTCGTCCAACGCTCCCAATGTCTCGTTTAGCCCTGCCATGGACCACTTATAAGCAGCATTATCCGATGGAATCTGGCCGATTTCGAAAAATGTGAAGCGGCTAAGCAGCGCCTGGAACGTGCTATTCGACCAGTGGAACCAGTATACATAATCCGCATATCCGTCCTCTCCAAACGTCTTAAAAAGTTTCTTGTCTTGCGCTTGACTGCCCAGTTGTCCTGCGGCATTCTTGGCTAGGATGTATTCGCATATCGCGCCGCTTTCTTGCAGAGTGATTCCAGCTTCAGGGTCCTCCACGAATGGCGCCTTGCCCGTCTGGTTGCCGGGTACGTTCTTTAGTGAGGCTGGGGCCCCGATGGGATCGCGCTGGTGATGCACGATCTTGTAGTCGATGGCGAGTTCTTCGCAGAGGAAGAGTATCCGCTCGCTCTGGGAGATACCGAGATGATGCACAGTTAGGACCATTTTGTGTATGTACCAATTTTGGTGCAGTATCAAGGAGGTGTGAAGGGGGAGAATGTAGAAATCCTAGACGATTTATTCGTTGCTGTAGGTTTTGTTTTCTCGCTCTGTAGGTAGACTTCGGCAACTTGACGTCAGTCGGCGACTTGCTGTGGGTAGAGCTACTTTTGAACGCTAAAGTCATAGGTACCGAGGTTCAAAGAAGATCTAGAAGCGCCAGATCATCGCGCTACATGTTCACCCACCAAAATTATGATGTCCATTATTTTAAGTCTTGTACATTTCAGCAATAAACCACATATGTAATGAACAAATTGTTTGTCATACAAGAAAGTTTAGCTCAGGAAAAGCTCAAAGCTCGCAATTGTGGTGACGAAGATTTCCTTCTTTAGCAAACAGAAATTGAGAAGTGATATCTAGAACACAAATCCTTATTGTGAGAATGGTCTCGAGTACTGGGACAGTACTAGTGACAGGGACCCATGATGATGATTTTGTAACGTTCTTCATGTACATCCTTCATGATGACCAAGAAAGCCTCACGTGCACCTCGTCACCATCCTCCTCACTCTTCACTCTGTCTCGCACTCCCAGCCCACGTCAAACCTGGATTCCCACTCTCTACAAGCCTAACATCTACGCTCCTCGCCCTCTCCTCAAACCCCTCCCTCATCCACAATGCCAGATTTTCCAGAGCCGGCCAACAATCTGGCAATCCGAGCCTCATCCCTTCCTTCGTTTGCTTTATAACCTTCGGCCAAACCTCGATTATCAGCGTCGATAGACTGGGTATGTCAAAGATATCCTGGAGTCCATATCTCTGCACTATCGCAGTTCGATTCAGGATTTGCTCATCTCCATCTGCATCTCCATCGTCCGGATTGATGGAGAGCCCAAAGCCATTCTTGACTAACCACCACACCTCAAACTTAACTCTCACCTCCCACAATCCCCTACAGCTCGCCATAAATTCTATATATGAATTACTTCTCTCACTCTCAACAGGATGTCTCCCAAAAAGCGACAAATCCACCCTCCTTACCGCCTCCCGCCCGGTATCTCCCGGAAACGTATCAAGAAACTGCGCAAAATATATGACATGTTGCGGATACAACAAAGTCTATTCTGTATTTCGAATAAACCATAAACCAACCTCAACGCGCGTTGCTTCGTTGACGTGGCAGAGGGTGGGGAGGAAGTAAGGAAATCGCAGATCGCGACCGGAGATGGCATCTGCGGCGCTGAAGGTGATGTGTGTGGAGCGCAGGAAGGTAACATGGTGGTAGATCTGTTCGCGGAGCTCGAGGGGGAGGGTAGGGAAGAGATTTGCGTGAGGCGAGTGAGGATGTTGTGATTTGGCGGTGGGATATCTGATTATGGTCATGTTTTGAATCTGAAGAGCAAGGAGTTGTCTCTTGAGTGGCGTGCGTACAGGAAGTGAGGAGGATGCGAAGATAATATGGGTAAGAGTGGCCAGCCATCTTTGGTTCGAAATGTCAAGATGGGGATTTGGACATTTGCGCCAGTATGGCGTGTTCATTCATTTAGCATATTCCAACATGCGGACTGGTAATTCAGTTGGGCATGTGATGATGGCCACACGATGTAAATCATACGTGAAGTGGCGAGACTTGAAAGATCGAAGGCAATGCCAGAAAGAGATTCGACGCACTGAGGGTCGAAGGACGTTTGAATCGGTATGCCCTGTATGGTATTGTACAATTATTCCATTCTCCAATATGATTGTGTCGCTGCTTTGCTTCGAGGTATACAGCAGACCAGTAACATGCTCAAAGCTAATATAGACAGCTAACATTAATCTAGAGCTCCGTTATGTTGCCGTACAATTCGGTTCAACTTTAGCAGCGTTGCTGGAGTGTCAGAAGCTTGACGAGGTGTATTTCGATGGCATCTAACAATGTGGGACATTACGAAGGCGACTCTGCGGACTTGGAACTTCTGGTAGATCTGGAGAAGTGGATCATCAAGGGCTTCCAAGACCGTGGCCAGGAGGTTCATGACGTGGTGGGTTGTCGTTGTGTCCGCTGGCGAGGTCGACTGTCTGGCATCATCATCGAGCTCGAGGACGAGGCCTAGAATGCAGATTTTAATGTTTTTCAGAAAATTTCCTCGAGGTGTTGACGAAGAAAGAAAGGGACATGCGTGGCATAATGCAGGATGAGGACTGGGCATAGATTATCAGCGCCAGAGATGCCTCGAGTGCAAGGCCCGAAGATCGTTGCGCGATGATATGGACCGGCACTCTTGCGAGGCGGCAACACTGTATGAAACAAATGGTACTGAACGAACGACATCTATTAGTAACATCTAAATCCGGAATACTCTGCGCTGGTGATGAAGATGTCGCATGCATATTCACATTTCTGGTGTTGTATTGGTCGATCTTATCATCAGCCAATCAGCGGTGCGCTATTCCAGCTGACTATGACGTCGCGCCTCAACATCCCTGCAACTCTGGGGTAAGCTCCAAAGACAAAGTCAAACTAGAGCCTACTCAACTAGCTCTCAATCCGGTGTCTTTTAGACTGTTGTTTGCTATCTTCCCCTCTTCGACTTTGCTACACCCAAACGAAGCTTTACAATACACTCAAACCTCACCAACACAGTACAAAAAACCACAGCCATGGCTTGCCCAGTTATCGGAACCACGACCGACGTGCTCCCACCTAACCACCCTGAGGTTGATCTCTCAAAGGATGGCCAGACCGTATGTACTTCCCAACATCACCTAGCTACCTAGCACAGCCTCGAGGTTCTTCACCATCACCATAAGCAATACTAACACTCCCCAGTGCCCCGTCGTAGGCGCAACAACCGACCACCACCACAACCTCACCTCGCACCCGCCCGTTCCTACCTCCTCCACCACAGCAACACAATGCCCAGTCCTCAAGTCCAACGTCAACGAGCCCGAAGCCAAGAAGATGGATGACGCGCTCTGCCCTGTCGTCGGCACAGCCACAACTGTGCTGCCGCCTGATCACCCAGACATGCTCAAGGCGAGCGAGGGTGACGTGTGCCCGGTCACGAAGGCGACAGTGGGACATCATTTGAACAAGGTGGTTACGCATCCGAGCGTCGAGGGTGCGGAGGAGGGCGCGGTGTGTCCTGTTACTGGGAAGAAGACTTTGGCATAAGGAGGGAGAATTTGAATAAGAATGAGAATAACGTTAAATCACGAGTCGTGCATGTGCGCCCATCCTGCCCACCTTCAACTTTACTCTACTTCCCCAACACCCCCTCCCACTTCCCTGTCCTTTCACATTTTAACAACTTCTCCCGTCCCAAAACCCAATCCTCACCCTTCATCTCCTCCCACCACTGTTCCAACGCGCCATATCCCGCGATGAAATCCATCCCATACACCTCTTTCATATACTCCACCTGCGCCATGAGCGCTACATCCGCAAAAGTCACTGCGGCCCCCCGGCCTGCCAAACTCCCATGTTTACCTCCATCTGTAGTTGCCATATTCTCCCGCACCCACCCATCCATCTTCCCCGTTAAACCCTCGACCTTGCGCTGCGCATGAGCCGCCGCCGCGCTACTCATATCCTCCTCCTTCAAGCCCGACC